CGTTTCATATAACCACACCACCCCTTCCCTGAAGACACAAGCAGCCCCCACATGTGATGGGATCCTTTTGGTTGGCAAGTGGGATGTGAGTGAGAAGCCCTTTGAATATAAGGCATCAGTTCTCACTTTGGAAGGTCTGGCTTACACAGCCACCCCAGCCAATCCCACACATTCTCACGATCACCATAAGGAGAAATTCATAGAGTGTTAAAATAAGAAGAAACTTTGTAGACCACCCATGTTTTTTTTTTTCATGGAGAAAATGAAATCATTGAAAGATGTCATTTATTATATGTATATAGGTGAAGATTTATGACAGAACTACAAATTCTGAAATATATAATGTCTTGTATGTGATAGCACTGTATAATCTAGGAAGCATCTTCATGCCCAGTCTCACCTTCCAGTTCTCATAGCAAGTCACTGAAATGTGACTTATTCCCACTTTACAGATAAGAAAATCGAGGCTTAGGGGGGCTAAGGTAACTTCTCTAGAACAAAAGAGACAGCAAAAATTGAGGTGAAATTGAAATTGTGATATTCTGAATAATAAACCACAGCTCTTACCTTTATATTGTATTACCTCTCAAAAATTTTCACCAGATTATCCCTTGTTTGGTGTTTGTTATTATAAGACATTCCAAAAAATAGTTTCCTAAGATTTCCTTGAGTTTCTAGGAAAGCAGCAGCACGGAGTTTCCAGTGAGTGCAAAACTGCATGGGAGTAAACATAAAATAGCTGTTAGTACTGTTTCTATAACAGAATGAGGATAATACAAATGGGGACAGCAGACAAAGACACATTAAATAAACAAAGAACAATTCAAAGTGGGCCACAGCTAACTGCTGAAGTGGTTATGGCAATATTTGATATAAAAATTAATAGAAAGGAGTAATGATTAAACCTAAAGAAATCAGGAAAGGCTCACAATGATTCTAAGAGAAGGATAAAAAGCTAGGACCTCTGTAGCATGCAAACCTTAGCACAAGAACCCAGCACTACCAGCCTGTGACTTTTGGTAAGCCATTTAAATCCTCCAAACCTCCTATTTCCTCATCCATAAAATGTGATAACTCCTATATCTGAGGGCTGTGGTGAGGACCGAATGGAATAAAATATGAAACCCTTAGCATAAGACTTGAAACAGAAATATTTCTATAAGGCTTTAATAGGCATGTGGAATTGAGACCGACCTGGCTGGAAGGGGAAGACATTAGGAGCAGCTTCCACTTGGCTCATGTGCTGATGAAGCGAGAACACAGCTGTGACCTCTGTGCCTGGCTTTGGCATGCTGCTCAGCCGGCTGCAGTTTGCTTGAGCTGACTTTGGCTGTCTTGCAGGAAACTAACAGACAGGTGTGAAAAGCTCTAGGCTAATTGTCACGCCAAAGCTGTCAATATTTGCAAATGAGTGCTTTTAGAGCTTAGGAAAAGCTCAACCCTGGATTTATAAAGGAAAACAATGGAATGCTCTGAAACCAAACATCACTACTTCTGAGGCAGTGATGGCTAGACACAGGAAGTAATCTGGCTCCTATGAGAATGCCAAAAATTTTCCTGGTGACATGAACAAACCTCCAGGACAGATTCTTTGTTTTCTTGCAAGTGATCACTTAGAAAGCCTTCTTGGTCATACTAGTGCAGTTAAAAGACCTATTTGATATTAGTTAATTCTACCATGGATAGAGGTAATGAAATAGAAAAACTACAGACAATGACGGTAAAGTGCTTGGTTTAGTAACACGTATTTCAGGCGTCCCCAAACTACGGCCCCCACATGCGGCCCCCTGAAGCCATTTATCTGGCCCCCCACTGCACTTCAGGAAGGGGCATCCTCTTTCATTGGTGGTCAGTGAGAGGAGCACAGTATATGGCGGCCCTCCAACGGTCTGAGGTACAGTGAACTGGCCCCCTGTGTAAAAAGTTTGGGGACGCCTGATGTATTTTACTGAGGAACAGTACAACTCTGGAAAAAAAAAAAAAAAAAACTGAAGAGGTATGGAAAGAGGCTGGAGGGTGTGTTAGACTTCTGGGCTGCCATAACAAAAATATCACCAAGTGGGTGACAAACAACAGAAATTTATTTTCCCACAGTTCTTTGTGCTAGAACCCTAAAATCTAGATGTCAGGGTTGGTTTCCTCTGAAGTATCTTTCCTTGGCTGTTTTTATATTCACATGGTGTTCTCCTTCCATGTCTGTCTGGGTCCAAAATCCTCTACTTGCAAGAACATCCATCATATTGGGTGATGGCCCACATTAATGATCTCATTTCAATAGAATTACCTCTTTAAAGATCCTATATCCAAATACAGTCACATATTGAAGGACTAGGGATTGAGACTTCAACACAGGAATTTGGGGAAGATACAATCCAACCCATAGCAAGCACACTAACAAAAAAATGCAGATTTCTTTACAGATCAGAAAACGAAGTTGGGGGTCCATTTTTTGGTTGAAGAGACAAAATGAGAGAACGAGAAGAAGGCATCATCAACAAGGATGGCAATCCAGAGCCACAGTGAGCATCCAGAAGGAGTTTCCTGTGACAGATGACAGATGACAAGTTCAGGCAGTAGTCATGTATAGTTTTGAGTCAAATTCTTCTCATCTCAATTAACATGGCTTTATATATCTTCAATTTTCAAGTAAAGTTTACTATCCTGCTGCAACTTGGTTTCAGTCTCTTGTTACCACTATGTTGAAAATAAAGGTAAGTGCTATGTCAACATTTTAAGCAAAACAAAGAGGAAAGAGTTAAATGACAAGGAGAACTAGAGACAAGCATCCAAAAATGGTAGGGTGAGGAGTTAGAAGTAACAATTCAGAGCGAGAATGATAGAAGTCAACCAGGACATGTGAGCACGCTTTGGAAATATTTAGATATGTTCCCAGGGGTTGGAATTTTTGTAGTCATGCAGAATGAGGTTGACTTCTTCCATTTTGTATGAAGTCGACCTGTTTAAAAGGTCCTAAGGGAGAAACTATGATTTCTCTAGAAATATGTAAAAGAGGGTGGAAGATTTAAAAATGTAGACGTTGACACATCAGTTAAATAGCTTTTTGTTGCTATTGTCTTTACTTTCAACGTTGAGCTCTTGCACAATGCTTCCAGCTTCCAAAAATGCTTTTCTTTAAGCCAATACTTTCAGAAGATATTCATTTGGAATTGTTTTGGGTAGTACAGCAGAGCTCCCCTCTAACTAGGAATAGAGTAGAACATGTGTGGGCAAAATCAGGAAATCCTACCTTGAGCCACAGGGTAGATGAGTCTAAAAGGTTTTTACAATAAGGACAGGAAGGCAAACTCAAACTGTGAGCAGGTAAGTCCTCTACTCAAAAATTCCATGACGGCTCAGTTCATTATCATGGAATTCAGTCTCCTCATCATAGCCTACAAACCCTCACCTGGTCTGTCTCAACCACTGCTGCAACCTCGTTCTGCACCACCCTTTCCTTCTTCACACTGTGCCGTCTACACTGGCCTTCCTTCTCCCCTTTCAACATGCCAAGTTTACTTCTGCCTTAGGGCCTTCGTCTAGGGGTCCATTCTATGCTTCTTTTTCTTTCTGCAGATCTTCGCACAACTTCTCCTTCTTGTCATTCAAATCTCAACTCAAATACTCCCTTCTTACATGTGTCTTTTATGATTAAGGAAGCCACCCTCCTATCTCATTCTTCTTAATGATTAATTACTATCTTATTTATTCATGTATTTGTTGTTTATTATCCTTTGGAATAGAGGCTTCTTGAGGGAAATCACCTTATTTTCTTGTTCTCTGCTATGTTCCCATCAGGGAAACCTTTGTTCAATGAATAAACGAATGAGTGACTATCACCTTTATCCATGATCAAGGACATAGCATCCATACATGCACAAACCTTCTCATGCGAATTGGAGAACCAGATGTTCAAATCATTCATCTTTAGCTAAAAGTTTAATCTCTTTCTTACTAATCTTTTTATTCACATTACTTCTCCTCCAGCCCCCAAACACAGCTTCAAAATAATTTACAAATCATTGAATCACCTGACTTGGAAGAGCAATTAAAGGATACAGTGCAGTTATCCTACTAGGTCTTTTATATGCCATTGCATTGTTTCTAGTAAGAGGTTTTGGTTTTTTTTTGTTTGTTTTTTTTTGGGGGGGGGGGGATTTTGATTTCTTGTGTTTGCTTTTTTGGATTTCCTTTGGAGCAGAGGTCTGTCCGGTATCCTTGGCTGGCTAGCCAGCAAAGTAGTTCACAAGCATGCTTCCTTTGCTTTTATAAAAAACTTTTTGGATTTTTACTTAAAGCCAAAGAGTTTAACATTACAGGGAAAAAAAAAAAAATCTGAAACCAGTAATGCTTCTTGAATCAGAAACTGAAAGCTTTCTTTCCGTCTTCCAGGATCTGCCTCAGGCCCCTGGGGGAGGGGCCCAGCTGACGCTCAGATCTCTTGCTATAAAATCGGTTTTCTTTCCCCCTTTTCCATCAGGAGAGGGAGTGCCCCCACAGTTTTCTTTGTCCATTTTTGAGTAGTTCTTTTGCCAACAAACGAAACTCCCCAAAATTCTTTGCTGAAAATGTAAGCCACCAATTAGAACTTATCATTGAAGAGAAAGTGTGTGATAGTCACAGAGAAAGAGGGGAAAAGATAGAGAAGGGGGGGGTGGGGAGAGGGAAAAAGGAAGAGAAAGAGGCGGGCAGAGCCAACGCTCCTGCGGCAACGCTCTGCCATCTAAAGCTCAGTCGAGGCTTCTGAGGCTGCCTGAGGAGAGAGGCGGCCAGGAGGTCTGTGCGTGGAATCATCAGGTAGCTGAGGCAGGTGCACTGAATGCAGTTCTGTTGATTCTGTCTTCTTTTGGAGAGGGGCAGTAGCATCACTGACTCTAATTGGTCGGCTCCCCGGGGCCGGGCAGGGCGCAGCGTCTGGCGGGCCGGGCATCGGGCATCTGGAGGGCCCAAAGCTGGGTGGGGTCAGCAGGGTACTGTGTCCAGCAGATCGGGGGCCGTTCGGGTCAGCGGGGCACGGCGTCCAGCGGGCCAGGCAGGCTGGGGCAGCCGGGGCGAGAAGGTCCCCCGCAGAGCCGGCTTCGCTGGGGCTGGCAGCACCCATGGGCAGGGAGGGGTCCAGGCCGTTGGCGGTGTCGGGCGGTCTGGGAACTGGATCGGCCGCCAAGGCCGCAGGGCTCTGCAGGCTCTGGCCGCACGCGTGGTGGTGCTTCTCCCAGTCCGGATGCTGGCACAAGGACCCGCAGTAGCGCGCTGCGTTGCAGCCGCTGCACGTCTCGCTGGCCTTCCACTCACAGTTCCAGCAGCTCTCGCTGGAGTCCTCCTGCTGGTTGACTACAGTCAGCGCGTCCTCGGAGGCCTGCCGCTTGGCCTTGGCCAGGGCCCGCTCCGTCTTGGCGCGCCGGGTGGTGATGAGCTCGTGCGCTTTGCGCTCTGCGTCCGATACGGCTTTCTGCAGCTCTGACCTCGCCTGGGCTTCACCTCATTCACCGCCTCTTCCTCTTTCCTCCAGATGTCCTCAGGCAGGTAGCCGGTGAGGGTCCTCGGCAGGAACTCCCGGGGGATGTCTAGCAAGACCCTTCAGGGCCGGCAGAGCTGCTGCGGGGCCGGGCGGTGGCGGGAGTGGGGCCCTTCTTCACGTCCTCTGCATCGCTGTGGCGCCGCTCGCAGTGGTTGAGCTCCTCGCGGTCAGCCTGCTGGCACCTGCGCAGCACCGTGAGCGAGCGCCGCGTCTTCTCCGTCATGTCCATGATGCAGTTCAGGAGGTTGTTGAGGTGCTTCGACTCTTCCGCCCACTCACGCTCTGTGAGCTTGTGTTCGATCACTTCCTCCTGCCGGGACCCAGGCACCGCGAGCGGCCGCTGGCGCTCCCGCAGCTCCTGGGGGTCCGGGTGGCGGTAGGGCTCTCGGAAGTGGTGGGCCACGGCCGTGTCTTCCAGGCGGTAGTGCGGCGGCAGCGTGGGCTGTGCCAGCCGGTTGCTGGGGCTATAGCTCTGGGCAGGGTTCAGGGTGCATGGCCGTTTGCTGAGGGGCTCGGGGTGCAGCGGGTCACGGTCCGACCCATTCTCTTTGGGCCTGTCGGGCGTCCTCCTCTTGCCGTTCTCGTTGACTTCCAGCAGCAGCTCTGAGGAGTCGACGGGGGAGGAGGCACTGGCGTCCAGCAGGAGCTGCTCGTGCTGGGCCAGGTCCCGGGCAGGCGTCTGCTTGGCCAGCTGGGCACAGTGCAGGAGCTCCCGCTGTAGCAAGGGCAGGCGTGCCTTCAGGAAAGGAATGACGAACGGCCGCAGAGGGAAGTTGGTGGCCTCCTGAAGCTTGCAATGAAACTCCTCGATCGTCAGCGTCGAGTTCACCAGGCCCAGCACCAGCGTGCTCACGCGCTCCCCGATCTCCGGGGAGATGTCGCTGCCAAACTGCTGCAGGGTGGTGAGGAAGCGCTTGAGCTTGCTGAGCTGCCGGGCCCCGCAGGCTGGGGGCAGGTGCTGTGTGGACAGGGAGGCTGTGGACGAGGTGGCCGGGCCAATGCTGAAGCCGTTGGGTGTGGACGGTGCACCGATGGCTGTCGGCGAGGGGCTCCTGCCGTTCATCAAGAGACAGACCATAGACTATTTTAAGCAGCCATGAAAACGGCGGTAGGACAGCGCTGCAGGCCGGTCCTCTAGATGTGTGTGTGACATGAAGGAGGGGCGGGAGGGGGAGGTGGCTCCCTGGGACGTGGCAGGCGGTGGGGGCTGCATACTGGGGGATGTGGACCGAGGCTGTGTCTTCACCTCCGCTGGGGAGTCCAGCATCGCTGAGGCCTTAGCCTTCCTGTCCACTGGGGCTGTCTTGCGCCTCTTTCTCTCTTGTGGACGCTCCAGGTGAGCTCCAGGAGGGCTGGGCTTTTCTGCCTGATCAGCCAGTGCCTGCCACACCCCACACCAGAGGCGCTCAGCAAACACCTGCTGCGTGGTGACCGAGAAAACCCGGAGAAGCACAGCCCACTGACGACCGACAGGCCCAGCCGAGGTGTCCTCCGGAGACACTATCATCCGAAGGTCTGGGCAGGGGCCTCCGGAAGTGCTGCGGGGTTTTTTAGTGTCTATGGGAATACTTCTAGTAAAGGACAACACCCCCACCAAAAACGTGTCCAATTTATCAGCTAAAAACTTCCAGTGTTAGAGTAGTTACAAATAGAAAAAATAAAATTTCATTTTATTCTTTCCTTTTATTTAGTTTTTCACTCAACATTTATTTATTTATTTATTATGTAAGCACCTCCTGGCAAAGAAATACTTTATTGTAGGTGCTACAACATAGCAGTGGGTAAGAAAAGCAGCATCTTCCTTTAGAGTGTTCAGGAAGCTGGGAAAATAGACACTGTGTACATAATTCCAGGAAAAGCACGGGAAAAGGAGTAGAGAGGAAATAGCTGGAGAGGAAGGGAGGAGCTTGCATGAAGCCCAGGGGATAAGTATGGGTCAGATGGCACAAGGAGGAACACCAAGGAAGTGCTTGAAGAAGAAAGGGCAGTTCCAACCAAAGGATAAACATATCCGGAGTTTCCAGAACTAGAGGAAGGAAACTAAGTATGCGGCCAAGGCTGCAGCATGAAGTTATCTAGCCGCATGAGTGTTCACCTCCTCAAAGAACCCCGCTACAGGAGAAGCAAAGACTAAGGGGCAAAGCAGTGGGACTGGAAGCGGGGAAAGAATAGAATCAGCCGGGCGCGGTGGCTCAAGCCTGTAATCCCAGCACTTTGGGAGGCCGAGGCGGGCAGATCACAAGGTCAAGAGATTGAGACCATCCTCGTCAACATGGTGAAACCCCGTCTCTACTAAAAATACAAAAAATTAGCTGGGCATGGTGGGGCGTGCCTGTAATCCCAGCTACTCGGAAGGCTGAGGCAGGAGAATTGCCTGAACCCAGGAGGCGGAGGTTGCAGTGAGCCAAGATCGTCCCATTGCACTCCAGCCTGGGTAACAAGAGCAAAACTCCGTCTCAAAAAAAAAAAAAAAAAAAAAAAAAAAAGAATTATTCAGGTCTAGGTAGGCCACCTAAGACTCTGAACTCTATTTAAAGTGATGTGAAGTTATTGAAGCGTTTTAAGCAAGGGAAAGACATGAATTGGAGGGAAGCAAAAGTGAACTGGGGAGACCACTTATGAGGCTGTGGTAGTGGTCCAGCAAGAGACAAAAATGGCATACACTAGAGCGGAGGGGAGTTGAGATGAAGAGAAATAGACTTAAGAGATATTTGGGAGGTAGAACCTGCTTGTTGATACTAGCTCCCTTTACTCTATTATACAACACAAGTAGCTCCACGTGCCCACCTGACCACACTCAGCCTTTTGAAGAAAGACAGTGTCATTCTTTTTTTTTTTTTTTTTTTGAGACGGAGTTTCGCTCTTGTTACCCAGGCTGGAGTGCAATGGCGCGATCTCGGCTCACCGCAACCTCCGCCTCCTGGGTTCAGGCAATTCTCCTGTCTCAGCCTCCTGAGTAGCTGGGATTACAGGCACGCGCCACCATGCCCAGCTAATTTTTTGTATTTTTAGTAGAGACGGGGTTTCACCCTGTTGACCAGGATGGTCTCGATCTCTCGACCTCGTGATCCACCCGCCTCGGCCTCCCAAAGTGCTGGGATTACAGGCTTGAGCCACCGCGCCCGGCCAAGACAGTGTCATTCTTATCTGCTCTCCTAACTTTGACTTATCCAAGTAGCAAAGCCATGGCTATTTCAGTGGTCATCTATTGACTACGGACTGACATCCTCTACCATTCTAGTTATTTTAGTCCAAATATACACTCTCTCAATATGCATTGGTGGTATATCTCATGATGCCTCCAAGTATGTATATATCAACCCTCAGGTGGTAAAAAAAAAAAAAAAAAAAAAGAAAAGGAAAGGAAAAAAAAAAGCAAAAGAATGATAGCTGGGAGAAGCAAATTCAGAAGACTAGAAAAATAAGAGAAATAATTATTTGGTTCTGAAATCTTCAAGAACCAATCATATTCCATTAGACTTCAAGACTTGTTTTGGGAATCAAATGTACAGTAAACTTCTTTGCATAATATGATATGACAGAAGAATAACCAATAGATTTTGATACTAAAAACAACTTTAGAAACAGTACTCAGTGAAGTGAAAATTATTCCTGTCTTAAAAGATGGGCCTATTTTTCTTGTGATCACAGAAGGGGGTGATTGCTGGAGCAGAAACACAGCCAGGTCCATCAGAAATACCGGTCACAGGAACACATTTATTTTGAACCAGCATATTCTGTTGACATCTCCCCAGAAGAAAGTACAAGAAACTGACATTAGCTTTAGATCTAAGTTGAGATGGCAGCATGAAATCATATGGACATTCGGATGTTATCTTCCCCAAAGAGTTTCATTTTATATAAATTGCAGGAAACCTGACACACATATTAAAATTTACTATGGTTGAATGAGAGCCAGGGGAAAAAAAAAAAAAAAAGAAAGGAAAAAAATGTTGCTTCTAGTAATAACATCCATTAACACCTGATACATGTTTTGTTCTCTTAGGGGCATTTCATGACATAGATTTTCACATCCAACCAAAATGTTTTATTTTCAATGGAAAAACAGCAGATGTATTCAACCACAGAAGATTTGGCTTAAGTAAATGAAAATCCTGTTTCTCTCTCTGTTTCTCTCTCTCTCTCTCTCTCTCTCTCTCTCTCTCTCTCTCTCTCTCTGTGTGTGTGTGTGTGTGTGTGTGTGTGTGTGTGTGTGTCTTCTCTTAGAGTTCACCTTTATCATCATCAGTCCAATGCAGTCAGTCATTCATGTGTAACATTTATGAAAGTGTCTACCTTGAGCAAGAGCCTTCAAACCCAATGCCTGTTCAATGAGAATATCTCAGGACACCTGAGGAAAAACCCTTTGAGCTCTTCAAGCTCATTTGTCTGTCACAGCCCACAGTGTTTCCAAACACACTGCAGGAGTGAAAAGCTTAAAACTTGCTATTCTAGGTTGCTTTGCATGGTCATTTCTAACTTTGACCTAAGATTCCATGTGTAGATGTTAAAAATAAAACTTTGGGAGAATGCTTACTCATACATTACTGCAGAAAACATAAACTAGTACATCCTCTACCAGTTTATGGCTGGTAGAAAAACTTGAAAAGTTATTAAAAGCTTTAAAAATGCCCAAAGTCCATTTGTCCAATAAGATCACTCCTAGAAAGCTATCCTATGGAAATATTCAGAGACTAGAATTATATGTATGAAGATAAATGTAACCATCAGTTACAAAATATGATCAGTAGAAGAGTAATAAATTTAAATATTTATTTAACTATTTATTTAACTTCTTCATTGATGCATTGATATGCACCTCATAAAAAAGATATTTTCAAAGGCCCATCCTACGAGGTTTGGGCTTAAATGAAGAGAAGACATGCAACTATGGACATTGATGTCCATTTTATATTTTTAAATTATATATGTAAGTATAACAACATATATAATATATAGCAAAGTCGAAATCTGATTCACCTTGCCTAACCCAGCACCTAAAAGAAAGAATAGTAGATACCCACTAAATACTTGATGAATGTATGCATGAATGAATGAATGAAATACTCTATTATACAAAGAGCTACACTTGCAGGTTAGAGTCAATTCTCTATTGCTGTGTAAAAAAGAATCTATAAACTTAATGGTTTAAAAGAACAATTATCTCACATTTGCTGTGGGTCAGAAATCCAAGCATGAATGTGCTAGATCCTCTGGCCCATGGTCTCTTTAACGTGGCTGCAATTAAGATCTTAGCTGGGGCCAGGTCCAGCGGCTCACGTCTGTAATCCCAGTACTTTAGGAGACTAAGGCAGGTAGATCACCTGAGGTTGGGAGTTCGAGACCAGCCTAACCAACATGGAGAAACCTCATCTCTACCAAAAATACAAAATTAGCCGGGCGTGACGGCGCATGTGTGTAATCCCAGCTACTCGGGAGGCTGAAGCAGGAGAATCGCTTGAACTTGGGAGGCAGAGGTTGTGGTGAGCTGAGATCGTGCCATTGCACTCCAGCCTGGGCAACAAGAGTGAAACCCCATCTCAAAAAAAAAACAAACAAACAAACAAAAAAGATGTTAGTTGGGGCTATAGTTATATTGAGGCTCAAATGAGATAAATCTACTTCTGAGCTGACTCACAATGTTGATGGCTGGATTCAATTCCTCCCTAGTTATGGCCTGAGACTGGCTTTTGTTTATCAGCACAAAGATATGTCTTCATATGTCAGTTCACAATATGGCAATTTGCTTCTATGAAAGAGAGCGAGAGAGCAAGAGTGAGAGCGAGCGAGAGACCGAGAGAGAGAGAGACAGAGGTATGCAAGCCATCCTTTTTATAATCTAATCTCAGAAGTGATATTGTATCACTTTTGCCAAATTTTGTTCCTTAGAAATAATTCACTAGGTCTATCCCACACTACAGGGGAAAAGATTATGTAATGTCCCTTATGAGTGAAACAAACAATAAAGACATTGGAATTTTTTATCAAAGCAAGGTTATTTCTCATTAGGGTTATCCGAGAGGACTTCATGGACTTGGCATTGAAACTGAGATTTTAAGAATGGCTTGCATTTATGAGTTTGACTCTTTTAGATTCCTCATGTAAGTGAGATCATGCAGTTCTCATCTTTCTGTGTCTGGCTTATTTCGGTTTGCATAATGTCCTCCAGGTTCATCCATGTTATCCCAGATGGCAGGATATTCTTCTTTTTTAAGGCTAAATAGTATTCCATTGTGTTTGTAGGCATATATATACATACTTTCCACAGTTTATTCTTTCATCTGTTGACAGACA